TCCGACGTCTGATTTCTTTTTAAAAAATGCGCTTCTAAAGTGCATAAACTGTTGGGATTGACTGTATAGCCAATACATCCTTAAGATACCTAATTCTTAATTTTTCTAAAATAGAATGTTCGCAATTGCTTCATTCATCAGTGCTATGTGCTATGTTCAATTACATGTTTGTGTGAATATGTTTTAAAAACATTTGTAAACTCATATATCTCGCGTGCTTTGTCATGAGTCCGACAATTGTTGCCTATCTAAAGGAGGGCAGTTCATGTGCCGTAGGTTTCGTGGGCCAACCATGCCTTCTTGTACTCGCGCGCATTCACTCAGCCATATAGCGACACTTGCTACTTCTTCGGCCGACAGGCGAGGTCCAATCCCTGTTATTAAACCAAATTCAAAATTGAAATAAAAATTAGTTAATTTTAGAACTCGATTAAAATGTAAAGAACCATTTTTTGTTGTCGTACCAGGAACATTTGGATAATACTTGAGCAATGCCGGGTCTACTGTCTTCTTCCGCCTTCTTTCATTTCCAACTTTATTATCTTTGCTTCGAACGCTTTGCTTTTTGCTACAACTATCTTCCGAAGTACTACTGCTGGTTACACTTTTCCCAGACGCATTTTCTCTTTTTTCACCATTGGATAAAGATCTGTTAGTAATTGAAATATTGGGGGCGAAATTTGTTTCCACTTTTAAAGTTCCTTCACTGGAAGATTCTTGCTTCGCTTCATTCCCGACCATTTTCTTCCGTCCAGTATAACTATTGCTTAATTGCGTGGTTGTGTCGGCTGTGAAAACAGATACTTCTCATTAATTATTCAACTGCACAATTTATGTAAGATAAAATATTTGTAATATCAATTCAGAAATTGAATTCTAAATAGGAATTCTTTTATATTTTAATACATAAATCATAATCCACAATCTAATAATTAAATTTAAAAGAAGAAATCGTTCCTGAATGAATTTACTTCGTGAAGAATCGACGTCTTCTTTGGATACCAATTCCAAGTCTAAATTCACATCAGCTTCCGTGTCCTGACTCGCGACCGAACAAACACGATCTAGAAAAGACCTTTCTTCGTTCGATTCTTGATTTATCAAAAACTCGGAATCGCACACAATGAATTCTGTCGGATCTTCCGCGGGATCTCTTTCACTTCCGTCGCAACGAAGCCCTGCTAGATATCTATAGGATTTATTATTAAATGAAAAACAAAGGTAAAAAACAGAAAACATATACATATTATATACCCGTATATCTCCAGAAAGAATGTGACAGGAACCATAGCAGACCCGCCTTCGGGTTCACGAGTGAACAGTTCGCAGATCATGACCATAGTTTCGAAGAGACTGGAGCCTAGAAGTCCCACAGCGATCGCCAGAAACTTTTTCACTTGACACTTTCGTCGAAATTTTCCGATCATCAGGATCAGGTTCAAATCCCGACGATCGAGGCACAAGCAGTCCCATCCTCGTAAAATTGTTTCCACTGGTAACGATTTGTTATAATCTATCGTATAGAAATATGAAGTATGACATTGTTCTAGAGGAAAGGAATATTGACCAAATGGTTCAATATCTAAAAGTGTTATTACGAAAATAATTATTCATGTACCACCAAACTGTCGAAGTAAAATCCTGAGGAAACCGAGGGTCAAACCGGAAGCTGTACTCGGAGGTGGATATTCCAATCTTAATTTCGTTGGTGGTTCCTCCCCGTTAGCTAGAGCTCGGAAATACGAACTGGACCACTTGAGCAGATCGTACGGTTGCGTTCGAATAGCCGCCTTACAAAATTCCTTCAAGATCAGCGGCAGATTCGGTGGCACAATGATTTCCTGTCCGGAAATCGATTGTTCAGCGACAGACATTTTTTTAAATACAAGAACTAAGAACAAGCCCGACAAGAATCGAATCGAAGATTTTAATTGTTTGCGATCAGTACTATGTGGAAACTAAGGGAAAGCGAATTGATTAACTTGAGTATCGTAGTACGCCACGTCAAGTGTACCGTTTGTTGCCGTTTCGCGGGGTTCTGTCGTCTAGGAAACAATATCGATATGAGGAGATCAATTTCTGGTAAGAGCAGTGTTCTTATCTCTACAAGTTTCTATTCTATATTAGGTTCCCAATTATGCGTCAAGAATAATCGACCGGTGACCAAGTACTTTATAATCCCGTATTATACAACCACGCGGTATGGTTACTGAGAAAAAAATGTAATTAGATCGTCGTCCTGTTCTTAATGTAAATAAAAATATAAAAATAATTAAATTTTCTAATTTGATATCATACGATGTGATATTGATTGAATAGAAAACAGATTTGCTAGGAAAAGCAATATTTAGAATGTAGAATAGCAAAATGCTCTATCATTATCATACGAAAGAATTTCAATTTCTCTGCAATTATATATTTCATTCAACATTCAACACGATGGAATCTCTTTTGTGATATATTTAAAGTGTAGTTAAGTATTGCCGCGCGACAGACGCTTATAGATGGTGTCAGTGATGCACTTTTGGAGGGATAACGCGATTCAATATGGCGGCGATTGGTGTTGTGCGTTTGTGAATGTCAGAAGCGAAGACCGGTCGCAGAACACGAATAATCGTCACTAAATCGAGCACACGTTATCTTACATGTTTTATTAACTGAAGTTCTCTTCGTGCTCGCGTAAGGTATATAAGGAAGTCAGCCGAAATGTCGAAGGCAGACGAAAATGCCGACACAGGGGATACGGGAGACAATTCGAACGGTTCCTCGGCGGAGACCACGTCGTCCCGAGGTGGTGACTTTGAAACGAAACTCGAGACCGATCGGAGCAAGCGATTTGACTACCTGTTAAAACAGACCGAGATATTCTCCCATTTCATGACGAACAATCAGAAGGACAAAGCAGGGAGCCCGTTGAAAATGAAAGGCAGACCCAGGAAGCATCAACCACCGGAGACCCCAGTGAAAACCGATTCCGGTGATCATAGACACCGTAAAACGGAACAGGAGGAGGACGAGGAGTTATTGGCAGAAAGTAATGCCAGTGTCGCGCCGACCACGCGTTTCGAATCGTCGCCGCACTACATCAAATCCGGTGAGTTACGAGATTATCAAATACGAGGTTTAAATTGGATGATATCACTCTACGAGAATGGCATCAATGGTATTTTGGCGGATGAGATGGGTCTCGGGAAAACCCTGCAGACTATTTCACTACTTGGTTACATGAAGCACTTCAGAAGCATTCCTGGTCCACACATAGTCATCGTTCCGAAGTCCACCTTGGCCAATTGGATGAACGAATTCAAGAAATGGTGCCCAACTTTGAGAGCAGTTTGTCTCATAGGAGACGCAGAAACCAGGAACACCTTCATCAGAGATGTTATGATGCCTGGCGAATGGGATGTTTGCGTAACATCGTACGAAATGGTGATAAAAGAGAAGTCAGTCTTTAAGAAGTTCAACTGGCGTTACATGGTGATCGACGAGGCTCACAGAATAAAAAATGAGAAGTCGAAATTATCAGAGATATTGAGAGAATTTAAAACAGCTAATCGTCTTTTACTCACAGGAACGCCTTTACAAAATAACCTTCACGAACTGTGGTCTTTGCTCAATTTTCTATTACCTGATGTGTTTAACAGTTCGGACGATTTTGATTCTTGGTTCAACACTAACAGTTTCTTAGGTGATAATTCACTAGTTGAAAGGTTACACGCCGTTCTTCGACCATTCCTCTTAAGACGTTTGAAATCAGAAGTAGAAAAAGGGCTTAAGCCTAAGAAGGAGATCAAAGTGTATATCGGTCTCAGTAAAATGCAGAGAGAATGGTACACGAAAGTACTCATGAAAGACATAGACATAGTGAACGGAGCTGGAAAGATCGAGAAGATGAGATTGCAAAACATTTTGATGCAGTTGCGAAAGTGTTGCAATCATCCGTATTTGTTTGATGGCGCAGAACCTGGACCACCTTACACGACCGACGAACATCTCGTTTATAACTGTGGTAAAATGGTAATCTTAGACAAATTGTTGCCAAAATTGCAGCAGCAAGACTCCCGAGTTCTTATATTTAGTCAAATGACTAGAATGTTAGATATCTTAGAAGATTACTGCCATTGGAGAGGTTTTCAATATTGCCGTTTAGATGGTAACACAGCGCACGAGGATCGACAGCGTCAAATTAACGAGTACAACGCGCCAGGAAGCGAGAAGTTCATTTTTATGTTATCAACACGCGCCGGAGGTTTAGGTATTAATTTAGCAACGGCCGATGTAGTTATTATTTATGATTCCGATTGGAATCCGCAGATGGATTTACAAGCCATGGATCGAGCCCATCGTATAGGTCAACAGAAACAAGTCCGAGTATTCAGGTTTATCACCGAAAACACCGTGGAAGAGAAGATCGTGGAACGCGCGGAAGTTAAGCTGCGTTTAGATAAGCTGGTCATTCAACAGGGACGTTTAGTAGACGCGAAGCAGACCGCGTTGAACAAAGACGAGATGTTGAATATGATCAGGCACGGCGCAAATGAGGTATTCGCGTCGAAGGATAGCGCTATCACGGACGAGGACATAGACACGATTCTTCAGAAGGGAGAAGCCAAAACTGAGGAAATGAAACAGAAGTTAGAGAGTTTAGGCGAGTCGTCTTTACGTAATTTTACCGTGGATGCACCTACGGATTCCGTCTATCAGTTCGAAGGCGAAGACTACCGCGAGAAACAAAAGATCCTCGGAATCGGGAACTGGATAGAACCACCGAAACGTGAACGTAAAGCCAATTATGCGGTGGATGCTTACTTCAGAGAAGCTCTCAGAGTGTCCGAGCCAAAAGCTCCGAAGGCACCCAGACCTCCGAAGCAACCAATCGTCCAGGACTTCCAGTTTTTCCCGCCGAGGCTATTCGAATTACTCGATCAAGAGATATACTATTTCCGACAGACTGTGGGGTACAAAGTACCGAAAAATCCGGAACTCGGTTCGGATGCTGCCAGACTTCAAAAGGAAGAACAACGTAAAATCGACGAAGCTCAGCCGTTAACGGATGAAGAGGTCGTAGAAAAAGAAAAACTGCTCACTCAGGGCTTCACCAACTGGACGAAGAGGGACTTCAACCAATTCATAAAGGCTAACGAGAAGTACGGGCGGGATGATATTGAAAACATAGCCAAGGAGGTAGAAGGAAAAACTCCGGAAGAGGTGATGGAATATTCGGCAGTCTTTTGGGAACGTTGCCACGAATTGCAGGATATAGACAGGGTAATGGCACAGATCGAACGAGGGGAAGCGAAAATACAGAGACGAGCCGGAATCAAAAAAGCTTTGGATGCTAAAATGGCGAGATACCGTGCTCCTTTCCATCAGTTAAGGATAGCTTACGGTACGAACAAGGGTAAGAATTATACCGAGGAAGAGGATCGATTTCTGGTTTGTATGTTGCATAAACTGGGATTCGACAAAGAAAACGTGTACGAGGAGCTCCGCGCGACAGTCAGATCTGCGCCTCAATTCCGTTTTGACTGGTTTGTGAAATCGCGCACAGCTTTGGAATTGCAACGGCGATGCAACACGTTGATCACTTTGATAGAACGTGAGAATCAGGAATTGGAGGAACGCGAGAGACAGGAAAGAAAGAAGAAAGGTGGTGGCATTGGCGCAAAACCCGCGTCCAAACGAAAACAAGAAAATCTACCAGCACCACAAGATAAACCTAGAAAAAAGAAGAAATAAAATATCTTTCTACCGCCATTTGAAATTCGAACTTTACATTATAGGTAATGATATTTCATTGTTCATTTTGTATCATCATTCAAATTCAAACGAAGATCTGGTTTTTATTAAACGCTCTCGCGGAAAATACTTGGACAATCTAGTGAAGGAAAGTTCGTAGATGATTTTATGGAACAAAGTTTCTGTTACTGATTGCGAGTGATTGCGCATCACATTACGTGTATTTACAATAATTTATTATGAAAAATCCGTTTTGTATATAATGATCATGTTAATTTTCAACAATTCAGGATTTCACAGAATCATAGTATAATATGTTACTGTAGAACAATAACTGTAATACAATCTCATATCATAAAATGAATTCCGAAGAAATCGTCTATAAATTTTTTCTGGACACATTGATAAAACTCCTCGGCATAATTTTCGATAAAAACCAGATACCTTAGAAGAAGTTGTAACAATAATTACAACTTCTTATTCCCGCGATTTACTTTGCAGTATAATCACAACTCGCTTTTTTTTAAATAGTCAACGGATTATAGGAGGTAGAAGGCAAGAAAATAAATTGTTAACAGTAGAACAGAAATGTATTTATTAATGTCAACGAATGTATGAACAGATAGACAAATATTCTCGAAACGATAGATTTTTATATTTATATACGTGAATCGAATTTCGATTTAATCATGTTCTCCATGAAATCATGCTTATCAGGCAATTACTCAAGTTAAAGAAAAGCGAGGCTTGTTCTGTTATTCTTTTTTTATATATATATACATCTACGTATTCGTATACTTAATTATCAAGAAAACGTTACACTCGCGATACATCAAAGTATGTATCACATACGAGTCCACTTACGTACCTTCATTTAATTTTTACAAGGATAATTATAACAATGAAATGTGAACGATTTTATTTATTTACTATACGATTTAAAAAAAGCAATGTAATTCGTTTTACGAATAAAGGACATATGTTGCTTCATATGAAAATCTAACTAGTTCAACTATTAATTACCTCATACAAGAAGGACGTATTAACGCAATAAAAAGATAATAAGCGTGGTATATCGTAATAAAAAAGGAAATTGATTCGATTTATGTTTTCGCCTATTAATGTAGCTATATGTATGTATTTATTGCGTTTTAAAAATCTCTTAGCGAAGAAAATATATAAATTGAGACATTTGTTCCTATTAGGTGTTATTAATGTTATATTCATATATAGATATACAGATGTTATGTTAAGTGGCAAATGGCTCGACGGATTAAAAAGTCGATTATTATTAAAACCAAAGAAGTTTCTATACTTTTCGGTGGATAACACGGCTGTTCACAAACTTTTCAACGCGTGTAAGTCACAAACGATTGAACGTTTTCCACCCCCTTCGTGCAAAGATATTTTTTAGAGAAAGCATTATTGAGATAAATACATGGTACTTGTTCATTATAGAATATTTAAAACGTGCTGCTATACCTAATGTCTAAAAGAATTTTCCATATCTCACTTTTTTCATTTACATAAAAGAAAACATTCCATTAATTTTGAATAAAAATGCAGTTTCATGGGAGATATGAGGCAAAACGAATGAAATTATTTCTTGTTTTTGTAGTTTGTTCCAAGATTAATAATATGGAGAAATACGTTTTAAGGCCCCGGAGTTCATTAATTATTGCCACGAGAAAACATATTTTTGGTGTTACATTTGAAAACTGTCCAGTGTAATATTTATTTTTGGCTGTAATAGAACTTCGTATAAATAAAATTAAATTAATACGTACATGAATTCTGCATAAAATGGAATGATAGATGACGAAAATAGTATTCTCTATTTAAATCTAATTAACAATATATTTTGCATCACCATTTAGTACTTCGTAACTGCGATGGTCAACGAAATGAGTCACAGAACTATCGTTTTAAACAATATCAATCACTTACAAAAAAAGGATTGTATATAAATGCATTGATAAATCTTCCAACTTTTACGTGATACTTTTAGAATGTTCAATAAGAAATTGCAATAAACAAAGAACGTGTGTGACTAATATTGCCGATGAAAAGGATACATACGTATATCAAATAGGAGGACATACAGAAAACTAAGGTGTCTCATTTCATATTAATTGCTTATCCTACTATTTTTTCTTTTTTTTCACATTTTGTATCTTTTTTCCGTTTATTATCTTTTTTAATATATACTGCTATCTTACTCTATTACACGTACTTTCGAATATCTTACAGCAACGTCGGTTCTGTCTGAGATTAATCGGCAGTAGAGTACATTTAGTTTACAGCGAAATACAATTATGTTCATCGTTTATTAATCACAATTATTCGAAACAGTACTATTTGTCTATATTATTGTTATAAATGATCTATGGCAAGAACCGCCCCAACAGTGAAACTTGTTCGAATGCATTTATACATATACACTTCTTTCATGTTGTTCTTTTTTATTAAAGCCAATAAGTCCTAAATAAAATAAAAAGTATATATTTATAGGAAAATCACACACGTACACACAGGTGTTCAGTTTAATAAAAAAGAATAAAAAAATGACGAAGGAAATACCACAGTGATAAAAAGCAGTGTAACAATGGGCCCCAAATAAAAATTTCGATACTCGCGTCGATAGCAATCTGTAAAATTACGATACAATATACGATAATGAAAATGTTGGTGTTTCTATGAGTTCATTGTCAAACCACGCACTTTAGCATATTTTAGATATACATATAATATATGCATTGTGGAAAGTTTACGTACAGAAATCACCCGATTCTGTTTAATATCCTAGAATTTCGATGAATATATCTGTCTACGCTTTAAAGTTTGCAATAATAGCAATAACAATAGTAATACTGGTAAATTATATGGCGCGGTAAGCAATTTTTTTATCCCGCTTTCATATCTAGTACATACATGTACATATAATATTTTTATATATATATATATTTTCTTGTTTTGCCTACCTAATACGTATACTACAATTTATCATCCGCAAACACGGTCGCATACACCATACGACCGTGTCCGAAATCTATAATTTCATGATTATTTTCATCCGACCCGCACTACCAAATGATTTGACAGTATGCACGCAAATGTTCTTTTTACAACTAATATTGTATTAAAGTTTTCACGAATCC